TAGGTGTGTGAATTTTGTGATTTATCATMAATGGCAACATAAAATTGTTAAAGTCAGTTAATGTTAATAATTTAATGTAAGAACTATTTTGTAACGATATATATTATGGTTGGTTATCTTAATCATCTTTATGTTACATAATGTTGCAAAGTTTTTTGGGTTCCATACAGAATAGTCATGTTTAAAACTCTATACTTAATCAACCCATCGAAAAACGAACACGGAACCTCATAATTATATTTAATTTCCTACATTTCTATTATCAGTAATCGACTGTCGTCACGCTAATTTAAAAATAACATTCAGTTAATTGTAACACTAAGTACAACCTAGAGGGGGAATTATATAGAGTTAGTATACTTATAATGATATAGAAAAACTAATTAAAATTTTTCAATTAAAAAATAATTATCACTGAGAAATAAATAAAAATCCAAACTAGGTTTAATTGATAAAATTGAATGATTATTGTATTGATTATTTTAAAAGTGTGATCCRCACATGCAGACTTTATATTTAATTATTAAAAGTTATGAGAAACCATTATTATGTGTAGTATTTAACAAAGAAAATAATTGTCACAAAATTCAATAGAATTGGGATGGCGCGACGTCTGACTTCTGACAAGTTAATTGTGTAAGTAGTATATTGAACACTTTTAGATTATTTCCAGTGATAGTTGATAAGCATGTGGCGTGGGATATGGAAATTACTAAAAAGAGATTACCTATTTTGTCATACATTACARCGGTGAACCAACAATAATGGATTATTAGGGGCGTAAATATAGGTATAATAAAAAATATATGTTTTTATTTAACGTGATAACTAAATAATAATATTCCCCAAGTATATARCATATAAAGTAATTCTGATTGTATCAGATCATTTTGGTACTCTCTGGTTGATAATATATTATTATATTAGTATAACACGATTGATGTTACCTACGTATTTAATACCCTCAATCATTTCTATTCAAACATCACGAATACTCAAAATACTATTATTGCTGAAACGAACATGCTTATATCATATAACAGATAGGTACCTAGTTATATGTATATTAAAATATTAAATACAAAGTGACGTTTACGCGCAAATAGATTTTCGCATAACACTTTATGAGAATTATTAGTTAATGCGCTGTGCAAATACTTTTTTTCAAGTTATCAGATTTTATTTATTATATTAAAATATATTGTATGTATACAAGTATTAATTCAATATAGTATATACAAGTTCGAAATATTTGAGAGTAAACTATTTATGAAAAAAGGTTAATTTTTTTATGTTTTTTTTTCAATTATTGAGTACCTACATTAAAATATGTAAATAGTKTAATTAATAGTATAGTATATAATATGAGCACTGAGATGGTGTAAAACAAACAAATACAAAACAATGATTGAAAYTGCTGAATTTGTATTGAAGTATAACTTATAAAATACTATACAAACATGAGCAGTTTAGTTAAAATCATCTTTAAAATATAAAACGATATTTATTTTCAGTAAATAAAATTATTATTTAAGAATAATATAGAGTTCAATTTTTTATCTTGCCATATTCGTATTGTTACATTTCTTCGAAAGAGAGATAAACAGTAGTTTTTTTTAAATTTAGTTCTTATATCAACCATTAAATTTTAATCAGATCCAAATAATATAAAGTAGAAATGTATAATCGTATAGGTAATCGCATCGTTCCAAACACTAAATTTATCGCGTTACAATAAAAATTGAATGTAGGTTGGTGCCTAATTGTATTATTATTTAAGATCGTCCTTTTTCCAAGATTAAATTAATCAATTGTTCAAATATGATTTTTATTTTTATTTTTTTGTTATAATACTGTGAACAACACTTAAAACATCATAAATATAGTAGGTACCTACTTAAATATAACTAAATATAACTGATACAACATTATGCATTTTTGATTAAATAGATTTTGTATAGATAAATATATATTTTTTCCTGTTTCAGTTTTTTTGACTGTTGATTAACTTAACAATTAAAATATTTACGCGAATTGTTATTAAAACAACAATAAATTCTATATAGATACTAAAATTATTTAGGTCTTTATTAGTGTTAGAAATGAAATCCATTCGACGTTGAATTTACAAACGTTGGCATATTCTAGTACGTTATTGTTAGGGATATCATTATGGGTTCGGCCATCATGTAGAAATGGTATTATTTTTTTTTTTAGTTCTCCTCTCTCCTTCTTTTTATACATTGTACGACATCAACGAAAAGGATATGCCTCGTTAAAATGGAAATCTTTCTTGGATATTTTTTTTTCTTACTCACGTTCAATCGTTGTATCATTATTATTAACATCAGTGTAATATTTCCCTCCCATTTCTCTATTGTGTACAGTGTACGTCCACATTCAGTATGGAGTATAGAATAAAATATTCTATAGAATAACTATATAGAGACTTCAAATCTCAAATCGTCACTAAATTGAATATTAGCACTAACTAGACATAATATAATATTCAAAATATTAAAGGCTCTTTTAATTCGATTTATTGATTATATTCAAAATTGTAGCCTTTTTTAATTATATTCTTTATTTATGTATGMTAATATTTTTATTTGTAAATAAAAAAAGCTAAAATTTAGTACAATATTTCATTCAAAAGTTGTCCTTGTTACAAAAAAAAAAAATATAAAATACATATTAAGATTTTATTCGAGAGTGGAAAATTTAAATTTATACAAAATTCGCTAAAATCACGAAAACATAAAAACTATTATATAGTTAAACATGTATATTATGTTCTATTGTAATAGCTCAGTCTTGAAAATATAAGGTTAAATTACATTTTAATGTAAATAAAAATGTTAGGTGCCTCGTATTTTTTTTAACAACAATCTGAACAAAATAGGTACATATCGTTGTGTATATATTTTTTTATTGAGACATTCCAATTTTTTATTTTATTCGAAATCCGATATTGAAAAGTAAATAACGATTTTAATTATTTAGTGGTATTTCAAAAAATATAATTTGTTGGGCCTATGTTCTAACTTAAGTACCCACATAAATATTTTTTAGGTACTATAAACAATTAATTTTAAGTTATTTATGTTATGGACCTATTCACATCATAATTACGGTATTGACTTAACATCATGAAAGATTATAATATTAAAATAATATATAGTACGAGTATATACAACAAATTAGATTTATTTTTGGAAAAAATAAGTTTAACCTACGGCATAAATGATACAAAAATATGTATTYATTTTATTAAACTTCATTGTTTTAAGTATCTTGGTAAATATTTAAATCGTATACAAAAATAAATAACAATTTCATATTTCAATATTATTGTTGAATGTTGACAATTTAAAATAAATAAACTTATTATAAATCTTTTAAAATGTATAATTAAAATCATTATTCTCAGAACCATAATTTCCGCAATCCCATTGTTTAAGAATAAACAAATATATGTCAATGTTTATTATATAGAAAAATATAAACAATTGTCCATTTTAGCATTATAAAATCTTATGTACGAAAGAAAATGCAAAGTTGTAACTGAAATCATAACTTCCTACTGATTTTATGTACTGCAAACCCCTATAGTTCATTAAGAGAGATTGGTAGATTGGTATAGTTGTTATTAGTGAACGGTATCTAGATTATCTTATAAAGTTTTGTTTGGCATTAMAAAATAGTATTTAAGTGAATGTAGATTATATTAAAAACTGTAAACATGATTTTTWWAAAATAAACACAATTTCCGATTTAATAGAAATTCGGGATAACTGTAGATTCTGAGAAGTAGGTTTCAACTGTCCAATCAAACGTAACATATTATTATTTCGAGTCGGACACTATTATAGCGATATTATTTCGTAGTGTATCTAACCTCCCAACAATTCCCTTCGCCACAAATCACCAATGACAGCTGTACTAATAAATACACAAAAATAGTTAACCACCGTTCGTACTACCCACTACAGAGATATTTCAAAAATAATATAATTTTAACATYGGGATAGAATGTTATTATAGATAATTGATGTAGCATTATTACATACATTTCTGTGGGACACAATATTACAATAATAAAKGCTTTGATGATATAGTCAAATTYTTATGTTACTAAATATCATGTTTATAAGAAAACTAATTTATCAAATTTTTAAACATTACAGCAGTTGTTTTATATAAATATAGGTACCTAGTAACACCAAAAAAATTTTAACTTATAGTAAATAATTAAGTATGGTAAATTAATCTATATTATYTTAAATTAATCAAATCAATTTTGTATTCTTAAAACGTTTTAACCAAACTCTATTTCTAATAATTAAACTAAGTTGTAATTTATTAAATTTAAAGCTCAAACTTTTTAGCCTATTTTTTTTTAAGAACTTTAATTCATTTAAACTTAAAACAGTAATTCTAAAATTTTCATTTAACTAGTAACTTCCATAGTATCTACCTAATATATAATTTATATAATATGCCTAAATACTACCGTTGTAAGTAGGTATAATATATTTAGACCTATTATACTCCTTTGATAAGCAGTGTTTGTTTTAAGTTTATTAGTTATTTAGTTTAATTATCATCCATGATCAATTTTATATTATTATATTCTATGTTATACCCTTAAAATAAAAATAWTATTTACGATAGGTCAAAAATGTCAATGATAGAAAACAATAATGACAATTCATTTGGAATGGTAGTGAATATACTACCTACATACAAATTAACAGTTAACAATCAACAACACCAGCACCAGTAAAATGTGTAATATACTTAAGTTATAATTTATGATATATTTTAAAATTGAAATAAATCAATGATAAATAATTTCTCACGCACATGGTTCTAATTTCTAAGCAAAAAACGTTGTTCTACCCAAATAGTTAGGTACACATTTTTCTAAATTTAACTTATTGTATACAATATTTAAACGTTATTTAATATAAAATCAAGAAAAACAGACAAAAAATTACCTGTCATCATACACGAAGCCAGCTTTTAACGTATTGTAGTTGACCAAAAACGCCAAAGCCACGCAAGCCGAACTACCTGCATCCATGGCTAAATCTTGGTTAAAAATTTACAGATAATAACCTGAAAAAAAGGTAGTCGTCAATAAAACAATATTACCATGTTTAAAAATAAATACTTAAAATTTAAAACGATTATATATATTTATATATGTATATGTATCTATTAAATATTAGTTGAATAATCCAAAAAAAATCAGATATTCTATGTTTGAGTACACTGCTATTTTTATTGAATTGAATAAATTATCATTTCATATTTTTCATGAAATAAAATGTATTTACATTATAATTGATATAGATAATATAGTAAGATACATGTTATAATAATTGTGATCATTTTATATTCAACATAAAAAATATAAGTTTCATAAGGCACTATTAATWTCCAATCGAATGATAAAGACCCAATAAAATACGTATATAAGTATATTTTGACGCAATGTTCAAAGAAAAGAAAATTATTGTAATAATAAAACCAATAAATTGTAGGTATTATGCTTTTTAATCTTTGCTTGAAAATAAAAATATTTACAGTTTCATATTCAATTTAAGCCATTATGATGTTTATGTCTATGCACTTAATGAAAATCGTATTTTGTTTGAATTAATTTTTGTCAAAACACAGATAAATATAATTGTAAAAATCAACTAGGTAACTAATTGATTTTTTAATATTCTTCGTTAAAAATAAGGACTTCATATCACAATTTATTCGATTTCTTCCATGGGTATAATACTCAACTATAATAAAGTTTCGTAACTACTGTAGAATTAAAAACATACATTCTCAAAAAGTAAAATTAAATTGGAGGAAACAGACATATGGTCGGATTATTTAAAACGATGAATATCTCTATTTTTTCAGAGTTCTTTAACTAATTACTTAATTGTAATAAAAAACAACCAGAGTCGTTAGATATCTTCTCAAATAACGTTATTAAGGAAACCGGCTAATAGAGTTTTAAGATCAGATTTCGGCAAAAGCTTTTGTTCCTTTGAAACGGCTTCTAACGGTCATGTCTAATACCCTAATCTGGAGTCTCTAGTGTTACTCTATAACTTATTCGTATCAAAGACGGATTTAACTAAGAATAATCTTGTGTCTGTTAATTCGTTCATATATCACAATAACAATAACACTTAAAAATATCAATTCTATAGTTTGCAAATTTTAAAAACTCGTCATTAGGAAACACAAATTGTAGTTTACTGAGTATTAATTTAAATATTGTAGCAAGCTATTTTATTTAAACTATTTATTTTAAACTAACCTTATTTTATTTCTTATATTATTTGCAATTACTCGTTAAGGATAAGTTGTCTATTGTAAATTGTATCATGAAATAGAATATTGATGATTGCATTGTACAGTGTTGTACACGTTGTACATTTTGACTGTAATAGGTACACGACCATGATCTTGTTACTTGATTCGATATATTCAACAGTCAGTAGTGGTAGTGGTTAAGTTAGGTTAGAGAAGTGCTTATATTGTAGTCTTTTTCCGCGAATACATCCGACGGCCAAATATTACTATTAATAATGTTACAATATTGTTATAGCACATTGCATGGCTACCGACGGGAGCGCGATTCGTCGTCGTCGTCATCTGTAAAGGTGGCCCRTGGCAGAAGCAAAGAGAATAGTAATCAACTTTTATCGAGTCCAACCAACGCCCGTCAAGAATTCCAGTTTCGTTTTATCCTTCACCAATCACCCCCTCCCACCAAACACCACTCCTTTTCAACAAACCATACTATATCGTTCGTTGTACTACTCGTACTACAAATTACAATTACGGAATACAACGAAAGCATCGGATAAACACGGCAAATGTTATAGCCTTTACCTCTATTGCGGGACTATAATAACTATACCAACCTTCTATTATGCTACACTTTGCGATGAACTGTTAGTGACGCATTTACATAGATAAGAGTTTAAGTGACTGGGAGGTTATGATACCCCTTCGATATTAGCCCGGCAAAATTATACTATTATTGTACCAGATGATCCGTTGTTTAACAGGTAATAAGCCGTATCGTCATTCCAAAAACTAATAACGTTTTTGAAAATCATTTCAAATCGTTAAAAACGACGTTTAAAAAAAATAGATTTTTCTTACCGTTATCATTTTAAATTTTTACTTTTCATAGTGGCAATATGCATTTTTAATTCTTTATTAAAATGCAGCATTTTTTTAGAATTAATACTAAGTATAAAAATCGAATATTTGATGAGTAGTATATAAATGGTATAGATGGTATGAGTTATAAGAATTMAAAGTTTAGATAAGTGAAATGAAACTATGGAACTACCCCAAAAAAATGTTGATCAACCATTTCACTTATCTATACTTACAACTATGAATTTAAATTTAAACAATTTACAGCACATAATAAGTAAGTTTATGGCATATAATTTAACATTGTTTTTAATTTTTTTTTCGCCAGTAACTCTTTAGCCTCTACGCCAATATTTTTTTAATCTCCTAAGTACATTACTAGAAAGTTCGATGGAATATAATCATTAATTTAATAGAATTGTATGAAATTTAGAGTTATATAATTTTTATAATTTTTTAAGGGCAAAAATGTTTAGGTCTTAATGATATTGTTGGTAAAATATCAAGAAGAAGATTTAATTTGTYGCAACCAGATAAATTGAAATGCCAGAAGCGTTTTATGAATTTTTATAGACCAAAATAGTCTGAATAATATTCTACTTTGTTAGTTATATAATATTAAAACATTTATGTTGTCACTTAAAAAAGTAAAAAATTAAAAATTAAAAAAATTAAAAATAATTTTGTTTCAACAATGTAGTTTTATATAATGACTTTAAATTATGTCAAATAAATATATTCCAAAGACGTTGGTATTTTATGAAATAACGAATGTCTTACGTTTATAGTTTTATACCTATAATACTGGATTGTTCGTCCTGTATATATATTGTGTGTAAGCTGTGACTACGTTTTATTAATTTTAATTATATGATTCAATTTTGATTTTGTTTTTTATCGATGTCAAATAGGTAATAAGATGAAAARTCCTAAATACATTTTACACCACCCAAGCTAATTTCTATAACGTAGTCGTGGGACGCAGAGATAACGTGAATTTAAAAATAAAAAGCAATGCGCCACCAGCTTATAACCCCCCTACCAATTACCATCAACGTTAACGAATGTGTGTATTATTATATAGGRGTGAATGAGCTTAGACAAAAATACTCTTTCTTCGTTTAACAAACTTTCAATCCATGCCTCTCTGTCACACACCCTACTCCTCGCAGCCTCTTGTCTGCCATGGTTTTGTCTCCGTAAAATGACATCTATAATCCGTTAAAGGGGACGATATACTGTGCTATATACTGGCCGAAGGGCTGACAAAGAGGGTAAATATGTAGACCACCCCAATGTAAACAATTTCTCAAACGATTCGCTTATAATAATATTATGTGAAAAAGAAAGCAAAACCAAATAATTTATATCAGTTTTCCATATAAAGTTAAATTTACAAGCAACGGTTTATTGCCCGCCTACGTAGAGCCATATAGTATACAAATCGATATTTAATACGACCATTTATACCAGTGTCCAGTGTCTATGTAATACCGAAATTTCATACGTTGCATAAATGTTTTATACGAATATCTTCCGATGTTGTTTGATTAACCATATTTMGTGATTCAGCAAACTCTCGATAAACATAAAGTTAACCATGAGTGTTAAAACAAACACTTAACATACATTTGAAAACATTTAACGTTTACCAGGCAGGAAAAGCGTAAAAAGTTAATGGATAAAAGATTTAGCATAAAATCCTAAGCCTCAWTACGGTTAACGAATACATTAATTCATTTTTTAAAACAATCGAAAACAAAAATTTTAATTTCCTCCTTATTAATGAATCATACATCACRCCAATGCTGAACAATTAATATACTTGTGTTCTATGGCGGTGTGTTAAATATTTGTGGTTCTCATAAAATATTGCAAATWAATATTTTTATTCATATCATCTATAATGAATTAATAAATGCACGTTATAAATAATATAATGTAATAATTCACAGATTAACAATTAAAAATTGATATTTAAAAAAAAAATGTTTTACAGTCATATTAGAAATAAATGGTTAAGCGAATGGCTTAAAATGAACACTAAATTTGATGAAATAATAAGAACAACAGAAAAATGGAATAATCTAATGTGTCTCAAAAGAAGAGACGAAGTTATATTAAATCGCCTAAGAATAAACCAACCATGCACACTACACACATGGCCATCTAATTAAAAAAGATCCACCAAGAACATGCCTTATATGCGGATATCCAACATGTATCAAACATATTATCACTGAATACAGAGACACACAAGAAGCCCGATACAAATACAAAATACCTGGACACCTTTACAACACACTGGGTCCCATCTAAGAATCGGTCCAAAACATATTATTATTTATGAAAAATATTTAATTTTACAGTCTAGTTTAAAATATTTTAGTACCATATGTTAAAAATGCAATTGTTACGCTTCTTTCTAATCAATAATAATAATTAATAATTACATTTTAGTTGTCTCGTAATCATTATACTACAGAGAAATACTATATTAAGTACTAAAAAATTATAAACTTATCCCGGATATGGAAAMAAAAATTATATTAAAATTTATTACATACGACATACAGTCAAAATACTTACTAAAGATCTTATTTATTTTATTCACTGAATATTCATATAAAACTAAATATAACCAATTGTGTTACCTGTATATTAAATACATGCATGAGATACCTACCTAATGTAACGTATATTATTTTCTAAATTTAAATTTAATTTAAATTACTGTTTATGGATCTAGAGTGTTATTTTAGTTTTAAATTAGATTTAAAGTTACTCTACTTCTACCAAAAATATTCATTTCAGTCATGTTTTGTTTTTATTTCAAAAAGTTTTTTAATATATCTTTAGACTGCTATATAATACGCAAAGTATTACAAATTTATAAATAAATTGAGATTAATAGGGTAGTTAAATAATCGTTATGTGGCTTTGTGTTKAATAATAATACTGTACATTGACCAATTTATTTATTTTTCTTCAAATTATATCAGTCTTATCAATGCATGTTTTTATAAATTTTTTAATTTTTTTATTTATATTAATTTGTTAATAAAATAGACATACGTAAACTAYATATATTATTGGAATATGAATAACATATGTTTATATGATCGATGACATTTTTAAGCACATGTTTTGAGCAATCACATCTTGGAGTTAGCAATAAGCTTCAGCTAACATCGAATATAAATTTTCATCAGAATGAATCTATATATTTTACATTTTATCTACAATTTTCAAACAAATAAATTAAATACATTTCTCCTAAATATATAACATATACTATTAATAAGATAATATTATCTTACGAATTAATGTCCTAATAGAGCTTGGGGACTTCAAACACATTTTTGTAGAGTTTGTACACACATTTCAAAGTGTATAGTACGACTGGATGTTCTTTTTCTTGCATCAAAGGAATACAAAATTTACCTACGGTTGACTACAATAATGAATATCAAAAATTCATTTGAATAGTGAAGCTAATTTTTTGTTAACTCTTAATTGAAGAAATTTAATTCATGCTGATGAAAAATTAAAGAAAACTAATTATAATTTTTAAATTTATTACCAACATAAAATGTTGTTTATTATTATTATTTAACAGAAATTAGTAACTACTAACTAGTAATTGATTACTTTATGTGTATAAAATATAATTATTAAAAACACGTTAATTAATAATTTTCAATTATTACAGATAATAATAACAGATTTTGTTTTAATAGGTAAGTATTTTACAAATATATGTTTTCAATGTTTTCATTAATATGTTTGAAAGGATATGGGGTGAATAAGGCGGAAAATTGACAAGAGTCTATAACTTAAATGCGTTACTGTTAATTGTACATAAAATTAATAATTGTTGGCATTGTCGTAATAACTTGAAAGTTAAAACCATTTCAAATATTCTGCCAATAAACTTTAGTCTATTAGCCACATATTATTTTACACATACTAGTTACGTTCATTAGATCCCTTTGTTCGAAACTCAAATTCCTTAAACTAACAATTCCCAAAGCAATAACTAAACTTAGTTATACAATTCACTTGTTTTTCGTATAAGATTAGAAACAAAATATTTTTTTCACACAAGACACAAATAAATTATCAAATTTTTTAAATAAAACAGTTATTTATTAAATTATTTATTGWACTTAATTTGTGTAAATAAAATATACATCATATTATTATGTACAAAGTTATGATATTTTTAACACAAGAGTTTAATTTACTAAACACATTTTTTTATTCAAAAATAAATTATTAATTCAAATATAATACCAATTAATCGTAACAAAAAGAAAAATAATAATCATAATAATAACAATAATAATTCGTTTACGACACTTTCAATTTATATCATTTAATATAATTATTAATTACTATTTTTAAATAAATTTTAATTCTCTGTATAACTAGAAGATCATTATGATTGGCGACAACGTGTTAAACAACATAATATTTTATCTGCTTGGTTATAAAAGTGTATGCACATTTCAATTTTTTCACAGAAAATTATAGCACTCAAATATAATATGCTGTTAGATTCGGACACGTGATCGACAGATCTTAGCCAAGTACTTATATAGATTCGTGACACGACAATCGTCGTCCAATATATACATAATATATTAATTATATATATATATATTATATAGCTACTACACTTACACGGAAAAAGCAGATTTCCGGTATACGACGAGTTACCGGATCGGCGGTCTACTCAAATCCATCGCGATACCTCGCACTGACGCACATGGAAACTAAAATTGTTATTATTCTAAGCAGGTGGTGCGATATATGCGCGTTTATCCACGGCGGGTACGCGCGCCAATTCGTCTGCCTCGGGAACGCAGCCCCCGACAGAAATGCACTGCGGCGCGGCGATGGAATAGATGTGCAAAAAATATGGAATCACGCGCGCGGCGATAATGATAATAAAATATTGTTGTCGATAGGTAAAATGTTGCTGTTGACGATATTAATGTTATAAGTTCGACTACGCGAAATACACGACGAAGATATTGCGGCGTGCGAGTCTCGAAGTCCGCGAGCRGGGTCTATGTTGTGCTCGGGTAAAATTACGACGTCGGGTTGCGCGCGGTAGCGATACCGAAACGTTACTAACGCGCGCGGTCGTGGCGTAACGGTGGTGGTGCCGGTGGTGGCGGCGACGACAACGACGACGACGATCCTTCTACAAGCGCGCCACGGCTGTTGCAGCCGGCGAGTTGCGTCGTTATACCACGCGTATTATATAGGGATCATGCGTGTGGACGGCCCACCCCTTTTCGTATTATTATTATTATTTTACATTAATATATTTTTGCGTTTAGAAAACGTACGATGTGTATGTGTGATTGTGTGTGTGTGTGTGTGTGTGTGTATGAGAGAGACAGAGACAGAGACAGAGAGGGGGAGTATAATATGACGTTTCGCAAGGGTGGGTGATGGACAACAGAGGGAATGAGTGCGATAGAGGAAGCAGTCGTCAATGCTCTTTCAATTAAAAATTCTAACATAAAAGGGAGCATGCTAAACGATGTAATCCGAGCCCCTATTGTATGCGTGCACTCTCTACATTATTTGTACACATACGCACACACACGCGCACACACACACACACACATTTATGTATATTATATATAACCTAAGTGTACACCACGAGGATTGGTAATAATATGTACACACACGAATATTCATACTACCCTACCACATCCCGCAAGTACATTTCGACAAACGCAATATATTATAATATTAAAAGTATTAAAAAAAAAAAACTTCGAAGTTTAATGAGTCACGCACTGCAACAATCAATGGCAAAATACGTACTTACATAATGTTATTGCGGTCTTAACCACTACAACTACAACAGTGTACCGATAAAAAATGTTGTAGCCGACCGGCGACCGGACTCGATTTCGGGAGCATGCATAAGGCTGCAGTAAAATGCTCGATATTAAAATAGATATTTGGAAAATACTCTTCATACTATTGAGTGCGATGATACTGCTGATATGACAATAATAATAATAATACAATCAAGCCCGGTGGAAGGGGTTTAGGGTTCAGACCGCCCCCCGAAATGTTTTCTTATAATATAATTACGTTTTAAAAAATGTTAGTCAAACAAAGAAATGTATACTTTAAACCATCCTACCAAAAAACCCATTTTTAATTTAATATGTTTGTAAAATACCTATTGTATGATATGCGTGATAATTGGAAAACTGTGGATTGGTGGGTTGGTAGAAGACTATACCGGGCACAGGGATACTCGATCGGTACCGAACGCATTACGGCCATACCGAAGGCCAATCYGATTTTTAATTTTATGACTGTCAGAATTCTTTATATACCTATATATCTGCAAGATCGATTTGGCGAGGTGAATTCAAAAATATATGAATAAATCCACAGTTGTGGATCAAATATTTTAATATTATGTTCTGACATAATTCGTTTTCCGAAAAACGAAGGTTCAGAAACCTGACCGCATCGTACAAATATTTACAAATCTCTCTTTAAACGAAAATGAAAATACAACGGAAACACGCCATCCTACTTGGGTGTAACGAGAAAACTCGTAGGTAATCGCATTCACGAAAATATTTGGAATATATTTTGAAGGGTTCATGTGTTTTTCAGTTTTAGAATAACGATATATAATACCATTTTTTACCATAATATTCAAGTAATAAAGTTGATCTAGGTAAATTATTAAAAATGATTTAACGGTCATCTGTGTTTAAATTGTGTAGGATGAAATGCTATTTAGATATAAAAATAATTCGCTATAAGAGTTGGATASTTGGATAAAAATATTATAGAACATTAATAGTTTATAATATATAACAACACAGTGGTTGAAACGTCAAAAATGTTACAACGAGATGAGCACCAACGATAACTAAAATCGAATTTTAGGTTCTGAGGGAAACGATTAATGCATATTGTTTTTACARTRATGTTTGTTGTTTTCTTTTGATTATGTCTGACGTCATCCCTTGAAGAGCTTAAATTTTAAACTTTGAAGTTGGTGGTCTTAAATAACAAACTACTTTCGTTAAAATAAAAATTCCCAGTACTTGAAYATACTCAAATATAATTGGTAATTAAGGTATAAGATCTATAGATATATGATTTATCATTGAATTCAAATTTAACACATCTGTTTTAATAATTTAGTGTGACTTTTTCAATTACGACAATTACTGTACAGCAGAGTGGTTACCTACTTTTCCTCTTTTTCTAATGATAATTTATATTTTTTAGCCTAGATCAATCATATTTTTAGATGTATATCTCGCAGAATGATAACTTTTTATAAGAATTTAATTTTACATTTGAACTCTTTTTTAAATAAAAATACCTAWTGAAAAACTATGATTTCCTGGTTGGTGCACTACCCTAAATCGACCAATTTGCTTTTATACCATTATGTTGGGGAGAGGACAGAGCATTGTTCACGGTTTATTGATCRACTCGCGAGTATTTGCCCTGTTTCACACAAAACGCAATTACAATGGTCCCTATACTGATTTTTGACCTAGGGGTCTTTGTTAGCTAAAGTCGTGTCCTGTTGAAAAAACGTATTTTACACACATATAGTTGTCTAACCAGTACTTAAAGTTAGTTTAAAAATTAAAAATTTAAAAATTGTGAGAAATAGAATTTGCTGTATACTATTTTTAGGTATATACAGGGTGTCCCGCAAGGATTTACCCATAGCGATATCTCACGAAATAATGGAGATATCAAAATTCTGGTTTTTTTATAAGGCTCACAGAAATTTAAGAAATATATTTTTTTATTTAATTATTTACAAAAAAAATGTAAGATAGCCATTTTGTAGAGTTTATTTTTCTAAAAATATTGACGTTTCAAAATGTTATTTTCATTAATTTCCAGCTTTTTAATATTTGTTCTAGTTTTGAAGAAATAAAATATAATTATAAATTTATAACTATTAGGAAAACGGAAAGTATTCGGCCCGCCGTATAAGAATGCGCGCGACGCGGCGGGTCTGATAACATTACGGTGTTAAATAATTCGCAATTTTTCTCGAAACTAAAAAAAATATTAAAAATCGGGAAATTAATGAGAAAAAAAATAAAATAAAATTTTAAAACGTCAATATTTTCAGAAAAATAAACTCTACAAAATGGCTGTCTTTAGTTTTTTTTGGAAATAATTAAATAAAAAATAAATTTTTTAACTTTTTTACCAAAATATTTAAGTAAATTAAAATATGAAATAATTGTAGTTATTTTCCCTGTAAGTCTTATTAAAAACCAGAATTTCGTAATCACCATTATTTCGGGAGATATCACAATGGATAAATAAATAAATCCTCAAGGGACACCCTGTATGATTAAATATTAAAATGTATATTTTTATAATAATTTAAATAAAAATTCATAATATATAATGTCTTGTTAGTTATTATATACGAATAAATGGAATTTATTTAACTATAATGAGAAAATTGGAACTTTTTTGACATCACCCACCATCAGGTGACTGCCAATTATTTACTTGGAATTTTTGTTAAAAAATGTTCAAATAAAGGTAAGTTAATTGTGAATTAGATAGTAAAGTATAACGTACAAATAAATATTAATTTATAACCATTTTCAAAATGAAAGAAATTATTATTTCTGTATAACAATAAATAATRTCCACTGTTAATTAGGTTAAAACTATACGAACAAAAAGTTTATCGTAACTTTTATTCATCAAGGGTCCATATAATTTTAAAATGATATTTTCGATTCAAATGCACAATTTATCATTTTTTTAAATTTTATATCAAAACAAAAATGTTTTAAGATGATCTCGTACTGTTATTCTAAAATATTATCATAATTAATATATTAAACTCAGATTACCTTTTTTATCATATGTTATGCATATATTGATGATGTGAAAGAAAGTTTAATTTYCATTAATTCTTACTGTTCATATCGAATTAGAATATTATCAAAATTCTTGAAACACGAATTTATTGGAAATTGAATAGTATCGATCATTCTAGAATATCCCCAGAGTGGTATCTTGTTGTACAACCTCATTAGTTCAAATTATTAGTTATTTTAGAACATATTAGTAGGTAATTCGTTTAAGCTGACTGAGCATTTTCAACCACTTTGTACAACCCAGTCACGACGCAAGAAAAGTTTACAAACTACGATTCCTCTAAATGAACCGTTTACAACGGCTGGCCAGCGTTAATTAGCCGTAAACCACAATTGATTAATGTTCACACTATGTTAGGCGATTCTCACAAGAAGTTAAGGGTTGTTAGGTGATTATTATTATTACATCGTTACCTCTAAAGTCACCTGCCAAAAGTTAGCAGTATTTTAAATATTAAAGATATATGCTATTGAACAGAGAGAACACGACATGTTTTAACTCGTGTTCCACTATAAATAATCTTCGAAAAACGTTTTACTAAATAAAATAAAAGTTCAAAATATATTCAATTTACTAATGGATTAAAAATTAATCTGTTATCTTAAACTAATATTGATTTTAAATTTGTCTATATGATATTTTATACTCAATTCTAAAAATGCAGTTTYGTGATCTTTGCTCTACACRGAATAAAATAAAAACTTTTCAACAAACGTCACAACAGTTTTATGACAATTGTAAAACTGCTATTAATGCTAGGTTGTTTGTTTTGATAATATTTGTCATAAAATACTATGATTGAAATTTCATATTAGTAATTACTAGTTTTAGAGTCTCTGAGTCTATATCATGCCTACAACCAACCACATATATTAAGGAAATTATTTGCCAATAATAGGTAGTAGGTATTTAATTCAATATATTACAAGAAGTTTTCAAAGATAATATAAGGACTTACGGAAAATGAAAAACAGAGTTTCTACGGTGAAAGTTCCTACCWACACTTGTCTATAGGCTCACAATATATTGTCACTTGAATCAACAAACCAACGATCCCTTTTCCCTCATCACTAACAACTACCACTTAACGATGGTTCTGTAATAATACAAACTTCTGATTTTCAAATAAGAATCATCCTTTTTCACTTTTAATTATTCCCCAGATATTTTCTATTGAAATTTTTATGTAACTAAATAATTTGAACGAATAGTTTTCAAGTTTTATAACTTTGTGTACTAAAAATAACATGATTACCTACCACAGACAAATTACCTTG